ACCGATATAGATCTGCTGCAAGGAATAAAGCATCTAGCCATATGCTGATTATCAACTTAGGTGTATAATGTGCAGCTGCTGGTCTAAATCAGGCAATTTCCACCTCTCGTTCAAATGTATGATGTGACACCTCTGCTCCAAACTTTTTTTCTCAGTATGAGTAAACTTTACTTTAAACTTTGTGGCACCCTAAAGCTAAATTTGGGAAAGAGCTTGTGTTATATTTTTATGATGTCTCTTTCAATCTTAGCTGTGCAGCTGCTTTTATTTCTTTTCCATTATCTTAATCACAAGACTTCAGTGTACAGGTGCAAAACTTCTAATTTTAAAATCTATGATACCTACACGCCTGATAGACAATTTTAGACATATTTGCTTTTAATCCAAACTCAGTTCTGCACAAAATCTGCTGTCATAATTTTAATCATGGTTGAAACAATTCAGGTTTGTAATTAACATCTCACTTGTATAGAAAATGAATAAAAGAAGTTGTAATTTATTGATAATGGTAACCTCAACATGTTGTGTCACAGGGTCTGCATTATGGTTATATAAGTTTGCTATGAAAACAAGTGTGATCTAAATACTATTAATATATTACCGTGTGAGTAATTTCCTGCATCTTATTACTTAATGATTATACAGAGTGTGCTTTACTGTGGTTTAAATAGTGGAGCTACATAATGTATATATGTACAACTACCTTGTAGAGTTATATAGTATTTGTGTGCGTTGTTTTATGTTCTCCAATATAAAAATAAATGTGAAATGTTGTTTCCTTGTTCAGGCATTTCTATTGCCCTCAATGTGTCTGATAAATTTTAGTGTTTTGGGTATTTTTTTTACATGGAAACAATATCTAATTTCAGTAATTAATTGATAAGTACTTCTGCCATAAATTGTAAAAAATTCTGCATGGAATTTTCAAAGCAAAATTTTGCCAGAACAGTAATTATGCCTCCAGGTTGTGACAAATTTGCTAATATTTTGAATACTGTGTCAACTTGTTTTTAGGTTGTTTCGTTTAAGTTCAGATTGTTATGGCCCTGTCTAAAAATGTGTACATTGTACATAGTGAAATAATTCTTGTTAAATGAAACACCTTTAACTGTCTTATAAATACCATATAACATTGCACTCATCCCGCAACCCGGCCCAATTGTGGCTTTGCCCCATTTTTTCTGCTAATAAATACAGAAATCATCCTTTTCAATAATATTCTGGAAATTTTCTAGGCTTTACAGTAATCTGCAAATTGGCAACATCATTATATTATCTACTGACTGGTAAGTGACAGTAGGGAATATCGGGCTCATGGTTTATTTAACTGGTTGTTTACATTAGCTATCATTATAGGGACTAATGACTTTTCTGCAGCTGAGGGAACTGCATAGCAATGTGATTATTTTAATAATGGATGCAAGTCAACCTCACAACTTTAAGTACAAGGATATATGTTGCAGTCAATAACTATACACGTGTCCTAAATGTGTACAATATATTTCAGATTTAATGAACTTATATAAATGTGTTAATTTTTTAATTTAACAAAAACAGGTTTTGCAGGTACAAACAACTTTTTGTAAAGAAACACCTAGATTGAAATTCAACTGCACTGTTTCAGATTAACAATGCACAATGCCATGAGACATGTCAATATATTTCCGGTGTTAACTTTATACAGAAATATGTGACATGCATACATTTAGGTATAGTTTTTAAAAAGTCAAATGGAGTGTCTCGGTAAATCTAATGAATTTCTTTTCAACCAAATGTTTGAATATGAGCCTATTAAGTTTAAGAATATAGGAGTAACATCTTTATGTGGATGTCTTTCACTGATAACAAACTTTTGCAGTCTTTCAGTCTGAATTACAAAGTAGGAAATCTTAATGCACTTCAAAATGGCTGGGAGCATTACTCACAAGATCAGATATATACTCTGTGATCTGAAGTCAAAAGTTACCCACCTATTGATGACTATATATATGCTAATGTTACATACAGTTTACTGACCGTATTGATTCTACAGTAAGCCCAGGGGCCTCACATTACGTCATATCACTCAAAGTTAGGGAGTGAACTTAATACAGGAGAATGAAATAGCATGATAGCATACAAATGATGGTAACAACAATATGATATGAATGGCTTTTAAATAATACAAAAACTTAGGCCTACAATTGCCAGAATTATGACGTTATATAATTATTTATGACCAATAAACACAACTGATTTTTGTTTTTGAACTGCTTTGAAATTACCATTGGCAAGCTTTAGGATCATCATGATAGTATGTCTATTTGTGTTGATCAATACAGGACAAAATAATACAGAAAGCTATTTAAACTATATTCAGTATATATTGTACTGAATGTATTTCCCATTATCTGAAGATGATACAGAAATATGATATATTCTGTAGTATCTTCATGTTTATGTAGTGACACATTGATATATCAAACCCAGCCTGCCGCAAATAATGTCAGTCCTGTTGTAGGTGTAAACGTTAGTCATTATATCAGGAAAATTAAAAACAATCGGAGAAAGCAGCCATCTCGATGTGTACGTCATGATATTGACAGCATCATTATGATAAACTGTGACAGTCCTCAACAATCAGGGTTGCAGTGAGATTAATTTAGAAAGATAACGGCCTGAATGATGATTAAGCTTGTACAAATGACACCTATACTTTTATATACTTACAACTGACATGTTCATCATATTCATGTATTTTAGTTTAAATCTATTGGGAGAAATACATGTTGTAATACATATATAATAGCATGGTAATTAATGAATTTGTCTCTCCAATTACTTACTGTTAAAATTATAAATGAAAAACATACATTTCAATGGAACCCTGGATGCTAATTAATGTAATGTGATAAGTACCTTTAGTGAGAATGCTGGTGGACAGTGCCACTGTTCCCAATCTATATATACACAAGCTATTGAAATATATTTCTCCACATTTATCGGTCCTGTGTGGGGTCACTGACATATTGCTGATGACATGTCTAAAATAAAATAAAAAACAAATAAAACAAATTACATATAACAATATTAATAGGATAGTTGATAGCTAGAATGTCGGTAACCATTTTAGATTAAAGTCAAGGTTGTATGATCAAAAACAAAATTTGTAATGTATAGCCAATTAGCTGTTTATTAGTGCCCTAATAAATTCTGAATTCCCTAGATGCAAAGATTTTTCACTAATTGGCACAGTAATGTTTATGACCTATCAGAGCAAACATGACAGGAGTTTTTCTAATTACTTTGCTGAAAGAGAGGTCATCAATTATAATGGAAAGAATTTTCCTAGATATATGTAAACAAGTGAAAAAGGTACACGTGGCTCTTACAAGTAGACCTTAGAGAATGTGTTTTGACTCCAAAAATAAATTTGGACTCAGTCATGATGGAATTTTAATATCTGATTATGTGTTTCAACCCTCCAGCTTTCTGAGAAAATGTTTTGACCTCCAAAATTATTAAAAATCTAGTTGTTTCTATTTCTGAAAGATGCTTTCTGACGCTGGCAACATGCCAAACTACTGACTGGTTGATGCATCAGAAGTTTTCACTGTTGACCACCTTGCTATGATTTTCTTGCAATTTTCAAGGGGAAACCGGGGAAAATACTTAAATTACATTTAATAGAGTCAGATAAGAATTACTTTAGACCAATAATTACACTTTTTATCAATCATACGTTGTCCCTGATGGAAATTCGTGAAGGGTGTTTACTGTGGGTCCAAATGGACTGAGGTGCCATGGAAATCCACATGGAGAGTTGTATATATAGGTGACATTAAAATATCTGGTATGTGTGATTGAGGAAATAAACCACAGTAGTTAGAAGTTGAAATTCTTCCTGTAAATACAAATTATCTATAACATGTGCAAAGAGCTATTTGCAAAATATGACCAGGCACAATATATCAATAAAACCCTTTATATAACCGTAACATGAATTATTTATGACTATAAACAACATAAAGATTCCCACACCTGTCATGTAGTACACTAGACAAGACATCGATTGGGTTTTAGTGTTTTTGGAGTGTTGTACAAACAGGGACTATGATGGTGGTATACCTAATAACGTTTGATGTGGCCTTCACATTAACACAAGATAAAACCCAGAGACACATATCCTAGAGATAAGATCTACTATACAGCTTCATTGTTTACAAATAATTTTGATGCTGATTTCGATACCGTTATGACATCTGACATAGAATGATACCTACACGTATTCATTTACCTGTATATAAACTTTTAACACTGATATTAAACTTCAGACATTTATCTGATCAAAGTCTGCATATCTTCAGATATGACATCTGTTTAAGCAAAAGTGACTATAGTGGTCCAGAGAAATGGATACAAGGTTCTTGTATTCATCCATAATTGAACTTTTCATTAAATTATGATGTCATTATTGATGAGTCACTAGAAAACTTCCCATCGTTTCGGTGTGATCAACAGACAATCAATAAAAAAGACTTTGTAGAACCATGCTATGATGACAATTATCACATTGAAATTTCTCTATATTGTAATTCATCAATGACAGGTTTACTGTATGTTATTTTTAATGTTTTTATTCGTGGTAAATTTTAGCACTACACTGCATTGTTAGGTTAGAACAGCACTAATGAATATTCATGATGACATCAGTCAGTTATTATGATTAAAATTTGAAACAGTTAAAAATTTCAATCCAATTAAACCATCTTAATTTTTTTTAAGATGACAAATTCTACCATGAAATGCATTTCATAATGATCACGATATAAGTAAATTGTGAGGTCCTGTCGTAACGAATGACACATTTTATTAGATAATGCAGATTACTGTTTTCATGAGTCATGTGTTATGCTTAGAAAGAGACTGAGGTTACTGTATAACGCCAACCTCAGGGTATAACTGAACGGATTGCTGTACATAAATGTATTTAATATACTATAATTGTTTTTTGATTGCAGGTGGAGTTTTGTCCGACAGTCTCGCTCTTTTCACTGATGTCTTACACCTGGGTAGTGACCTAATTAGTTTCCTCATATCCCTCCTTGCCATCTACCTGTCAAAAAAACCTGCCACCAAAAACATGTCATTTGGATACCACCGCGCAGGTATGTATTTCCAGTTAAATCTCCCACACCCTCAACCCCTACTAAAACTGTTTCATTTTAAAATGAGACCTCATAGATAATGCAAGATATCATTACTTGAGACAAGGCTCACTTATAAGGACAACAGTATACTGATAATTTCTTTGGTTATCTGTCAGTCTGACAGTGACTATAGTTTAAAGATGATAGTGTTGGAGGTATACCTGTTGATAGGGAGAGCTAGCCACTAAACCAAATAAGATAGCGCTGTGAAGTGTATATTACTGTTAAAGATTATATCGACTTCCTTCACACAAATAAAATCTAGTAAACAAGGAATGTTTTCAATATTATCAGTATAGGACGTTAGGTAGCAGACCAGGGATTCCTATATGTTGTATTCTGATAACTCGGATATATTGTTTACAGTAAAGTACAAAGAAATGTCTTGAAATATGTAAGACAGGTCATAATGTACCAGGTAAATAAGTTTTAGAATCTGATTTTTTGCAAGACTTAGTGAGCAAAAGTTTAAGCTTTGAGACACGTTTCTTAGAATCTGGTATGAAATTAAAACAAATTGAAGGAACTTCCTGTCACATAACTCCGACAGGTTATGAAGGATGAAAGTAAACAGAGGTAGCCATTTAATGCGAGGCCAGTTTCAATTCATTTTGTAATGTCATTGTGCATTTTTAGCCCAATTGATTTCTGACTGGTACAGCCATGAAATGCTCCAGAGTATATTACACTAGTGACATATATATGCAAAAATATTACATAGGAGAATCCAAAAGATAACAGGCTAATTAGGCTGTTTTCCACTGTCTTGTAAGGACTATCCGTTCTGAAATTCTCTCTCCCCACCATATATGGTATAGTCTCTTTGTCAAATCAAATTTGACACAATGAAAATAATATGGCGTAATGATACATCAATTAATATTACTTTTCAAATGATGTCTTGTTACAAACTTTTGTCCAGATCAAAGTAAGAGAGTCATGATTTCCACCATACTTGTGTACTTCTCTGGTATGTTAGAGTGTTTCATAGTTGATTGATCATGATCCCTAGTTAAGCTATAAGGCTGACTCTGGTATGTTAGAGGGTTTCATAGTTGATTGACCATAGCCTCTACATAAGCTATAAGGCTGACTCTGGTATGTTAGAGGGTTTCATAGTTGATTGATCATGATCCCTAGTTAAGCTATAAGGCTGACTCTGGTATGTTAGAGGGTTTCATAGTTGATTGACCATGGCCTCTACATAAGCTATAAGGCTGACTCTGGTATGTTAGAGGGTTTCATAGTTGATTGACCATGGCCTCTACATAAGCTATAAGGCTGACTCTGGTATGTTAGAGGGTTTCATAGTTGATTGACCATGGCCTCTACATAAGCTATAAGGCTGACTCTGGTATGTTATTTCATAGTTGATTGATCATGATCCCTAGAGATGTTAGATGGTTAAGCTTTCATGTGAGAGGGTTTCATAGTTGATTGACCATGGCCTCTACATAAGCTATAAGGCTGACTCTGGTATGTTAGAGGGTTTCATAGTTGATTGATCATGACCTCTAGATTAGCTTTGAGGCTGACTCATGATTGAGTTATGATCTGTCTTTATTGATTCTTGGATTCTCACACCACAATAAAGCGCTGGTCCAGTAACACATTTGTAGCCACGTTTTTTGAGAGTTGCACAACCAGTGATTTTGTGGTCAGTTTTTAGCTCACCTGGCCCAAAGGGCCATGTGAGCTTATGCCATAGCGTGGCGTCCCTCGCCCATCTGTCCGTCTTTGTCCATCCGTCCTGCGTCCATCAACTTTTCATTTAAACAACTTATTCTGAAATACCAAAAGGCGTAGAGTTATCATATTTGGTTGGAAGATCACCTTGGTGAAGCCAAACAAAGTTTGTTAAAAGAAATAACCTTGACCCATATTCAAAGTCACAGAGGTCAAATGTGTTAAAACCTTTAAACAACTTCTTCCAAAATACCGGAAGGCCTAGAATCATTACATATGGCTGGAAGGTTCCTTTGATGAAGCCCAACAAAGTTTGTAAAAAGAAATGACCTTGACCCATATTCAAGGTCACAGATGTCAAATGTGTTAAAACCTTTAAATGACCTTTTTTAACAGACCAAATATCTAGGATAGTGATATTATGCCAAATTAGGTTCTCAATGATGCCCGTTAATATTTGAGAAAAGAAATTACCCTGACCCATATATAAGGTCAAAGAGGTCAAATGCGTTTAACCTTTGAACCACTTCTGCTTAACCTAAAGGCCTAAAATCATAATATTTGGCCAAAAGGTTCCCTTTATAGTGCCCACATAGTGTGTGAAAAAATAGCTTGACCCATAAAAATATCTAAGGTCACTGGGGTTAAATTTGGTAAAATTATTAACAACTTCTGATTGACCAAAGTTTCACAAAGGCTTATATACAAATATATAGAACGTTCCAATGACTTATCAAAGGAATATATTTGGCTGGGTTTTTTTCTTGGCATAATTTGGAATCAATTATAATGACCTTTCACAGTGATGTCACACTGTTCCAAAAAATAGATTAGGCTAAGCCCCCTGGAGGTCTGAGAGGCTTGAGCTAAATAATGTGAAAAACTACATGTTAGCCAATTACTTATGTTCTTTTCACAGCATTAAGTTACAGAAATCATGATCGGGAAGAGAATTGCCAGATTTTCATTTTGATTTAAGATTTTTCATAATTATAGCATAAATAAATAAGAAATTCTAAGTTGATCCCATTTGCTATGCAGTGTTTATAGGCCTACAGTAAAATGTATCAGTATATCTCCAGTAACTAGGGCTTAACTGACCATGGTGACATCACTAATGATATGCATGAAACGTTTTATTATTGGTTTTGAGTTGGGATAATGGTTTATAATTTTATGTACCTTAATTTTTCGTGTCTTTACATTTAATTGTTGCTATATATTGTTGACTTGTGCAAGTCTCAAATATGTTGTATCTGTGTTTGTAAACAATGATCTAAAGGGCAAGTAAGCGTCTGCCTCCTTGGTCATCCATCCAGCTATAACTTAGAGTTTTTCTGCTATATTGTTTGACCATCTTCTTTCCTTGATTTAAAAGAAAGCTATCAATTATATTTAACTGGAAACATCATAAGAAAGTCTCAATTCAACATTGCACAGATGAGGGGGCTGACTACTAAGGGACAGAACCCATATGGAGTAATTTGTCATTGCTTTAAGCATCTAAAGTGGAACATATGCACAGATATAGTATTGTTGGTCATAAAGATCCAGGTGAGCGATACAGGCCCTCTGGGCCTCTTGTCTTTTCTACAGATAGCCTGTACCAGTCATTGATTTGACTTTTATATATTGACAGCATTAATGTGATGAACCAAAAAAAAACCATCATCTGGGTCTGAGGTCCAATAGGGCAATTACTGATGGCTCATGGACCGGAATACTGTGTCAAGTGGGTGCAGAGGGGAGGGGGTAACGAAAGGAGACTAAGGATTAAAGATTTTGTGGAACATGTATCTACACATTTTTCCTGCTGAAAAATGTTATTTATGAAAAAATCTATTAACTGAAGATGTTACGGATATCTGATACATTTATATTAGTTTCCTTTGCCCAATCTAAATGAAGTCACTGTACTTGGTAATGATAATAATGATGAAAATCATTTAATTTTACACGAAAAATAATTGGGATGAACATAATTGACCAAATTCATGTAAAACATGTTTGATACAAAAAGAAAAAAAGAGATTTAATTACGTAGTTCTGTTGTGATCAATAAAAGTGTCATCATAACAGTCATTATAAATGAACTCCATCCCCAGAAATTCTAATTTAGCACAGTCATTTTTTTGCACATCATCAATTTTTAACAAATTAGCAGATCAATGAACTTGCACATTTTAATAATTGCTGTATTAGCAACATATTGAGACTGTGATTAGAGCAGTAATATTTTATCACTGCAGCTGTGAATACCACTAAAATCAGATGATGATGACTTCTAAAATATCTACATTTACTGTTTATAGATTGGAGAGAAGTTACAGACAAGCTGAAATTTTGTCACATTACTGGGATAATATATTATAACAATATCTGTTCTTACAAAAACAATCAACAAACATCAGAAGTAGATTGTTTATGAAATATCGTCAGAAATCATCAAGTATTGACAGAAACCTGAGATAAAACTGTTCGAGATTGATGGGTTTCTTAGATCACCTGCTATTCCAATACAATGAATTTCAATGGAAATAAAGCATATTTCTGCCTGATGACAGCTAGCTATTAAAGTTTCACACTGACGTCATAGGCTTGTGTTCTAATATATATTTTACAATAGAAAAGTACTTTAAGATTAAAAAAATGTGAATGAGGATAAAAAATGATATAATTATTCTTTAAAAAAAAGTATGGCTGCTGTATAAATGTTGTAGAATATGATTCAATGAGTCATACATTCTGCTATATAATGGTAAGACAGTTAAAGTCTTACATATGGAATTTGTTACCTATCCTCAGATATTTTCCATATGACATCACATTAAAATTTAAAAGATGAGACGATACAGCTTTTTTGGTCAGATAATTGTATGTGCATGTCTTGCAGTATAATTTAAGCATCAAGTAATGTACATACCCGGTAATACCTGTTCTTTCGTGTTTTCCTGAAAACATCTGAGACATTGTTTTTTTCAGTCTTCAAAATTCTGCCAAAGTGAAAACTGTTGTGGGGCTACTTTCAATGATTCTCATCTGTCAACACTATTGATTGATATGATGCAAACAGGAATATAATAACCTGATAATAACTTTTTCTGTAATAGATTTTGGAAAATTTTGTAAAATTATTCTTCACAAACTTAATAGTTTATGTTTTTTATCAAAATTTGCAAACCAATGCAGGTTATGCTAAGAGCATTTTCAATGCTCTTCAGCATGTTGCTATCGCCCCTGAGGCTGAGTATCAGTACTTCGTTTTCATTGGT